CCTCCATTCACAGCAACAACCCCCCCACTCCTCCTCACAATCGCCCTAACCTTCCCCTCATTAACCCTCACCCCCGTCCGGCTCGTCTTCACCAGACTCGTATACCTGCCCCCGTCCTTCCCATTACTCTTACTCTTCAGCCCGAACGCGGTCGCAAGTTCATGTACGACCTTGCGCGCGTGTTTTTCCATCGGCGGGAGCGCCATTGTCCCCTGGCTCCCTAGATCATCAACAAACCTCCTTATTTGGATTTCGAGGGAGTTGACGTCGAACACCCGATTCGGCATCAGGTCGGAGGAGGCGGGCGAGTCGGCTTGGATCGAGGCGCGCAGGGCTTTACGGGCTTTCTTGCCGCCCTTCTTGCGCACGAGCGGGTCGGAAGCCGCGATGAGCCGCTCGAGCTCGCGCGCGCGGCGGCGCTCGGCCTTTTTCTCGCGGTCGCGCTGCCACTGCGCGGCGAGATCGGGCGGGAGGTGTTTGCCTTTGTCCTTCTTGCGCGCTGTGTGAGATCGGTCAGTGGGGGTTCATGCCGTAGAAGGATGAGGAAGGGGGAGTGGAAGAGGGGTGGAGGGTAGATATAAAAGACGCACGCGCGGGCCCATCGGGCATCTCGAACTCCCCCTTATACACCTGCCTGAACATCGCGTTCCTTGCTTTGCGATCTCTCCCACCCAGAATCTCGGCGTTCTCCAGCAGATACTCCTGTATCGCGCATCAGCATCCAATCACCTACATAAAGGAAGAGAGAGGGGACAGACCTCGATAACCCGCGCGATCTCCCTATCCTTATCCCCCTCCCCCTCGCTCCCGTCCCACCCGATATCGAAGTCCGGGTCGAAATCGTCGTCGTCTGAGTCTAGCGCGAACTGGCGCTGCTTTCCTTTGGATTTGGACTTTGATGCGGATTTGGGTTGGGAGCGCTCGCGGAGTTTGCGGAGGCGGGACTCGAATGACGAGGAGTCGTCGCTTGATTCGTCCTCTTCGTCGGATGCTGGTACGGCGTCACCCGCTTCGGCTACGAGACGCGTCTCTTCTCGTCCAACGACCTCTTCAACCTCCTCCTCCTCCTCATCGTCCTCGTCAGAAGAAGAGCCCGAGTCCTCCGTCCCGCCCTCGCTCTCCTCATCCTCGACCCGCATCCGCTCCTCGTCCTCCACATCGCCCATCCCCATCTCTCGCTGCCCGTCCACGCCCATGCTCCTCACGAATCTCTCCATACCCTTCACATCCACAACCCCATCAACCTCCATATCATTCTCTTCTCCCTCTTCGTCCTCCCCACCTCCGTCGTCGCCCCAATCAATATCCTCCCCCCTCCTCCTCTCCCCCACCCTCTCCGCCCCCTCCCTC